GAAAGTCCATGTGATGACCTGGGGCTAGGAAAGGACAGAGCACAGCCAGAACGAAGGCTTAACTCTCCTTTATTGTTCCAACTTTTTCCCCAAAGCCCAACAGTTCACTGCAAGTCTTGCAACTCCTCTAATAGGTCCTGGGTGCTATTAGTCCGGAGGAGCAGCACAGTCCTGACAGCAGCCGAAGTTGAAGGAGTTTCAGAGACTCCTTGCCACAGGAAGAGTTCCCTGGGACTGCAGCGCCTCCCAGAGTATAACTATGTCACTGCAACCTCTCATGTAGCCAGGCCAGCATGGCAAACAATGCAAGCAAGACAAGCACAGCAAAGTGTCCAGATTTTGGTAACAGGACGTGAGACTGGAAAAAGCAGCGCTTGTTTCTGACAAATGCTCCTCCCAATAGTGTCTCTTTAAATCTTACTCCCCAAGTGAGCCTTGTGAAGAGGGGCAGGGCGCTCTCCTCCCGAATTGTCAGGTTGCTCTGTGCTGATTCTGCCTCCTCTCCATTCTTCACTAGGGAATAGGGGTCACTCCTCCATTGCCCGCCCTGTCCTCCTGCCTTGCCTGCTTCTCCTGCCCCCCCTCTCCCTCACTGGTGACCCTTTCCAGGCCCGAGGAACCTGGGACTGCGTCATCCTGCTCCTCCGGGCATTCCTCCATTGGCCCTAGCTCCGTCTCATCCTCCTCCCTGGACTCAGGCTCCAACGGGGCCATGACAGTCAGATGCTCCCCTTGGGATATCTTTCTGGAATGTTTTCACCCAAAAAGGGTAAGGCAAAGCTACATTTTAGCCTCCTTAATTTTCAATCTATATCTTAATTCAATAATTCAGGTGTCTTCAACTTTTAATTATCACTCTCCAATGTTAGTAAATTGTGTATGTTCAGCCTTGCTATATGGAGATGATGCAGTAATTTGTCTGTCTTGACATGATGGGAGCGAGGAGAACCTTCAGGACATTGGATTCCTATTGCTTAAAAATTGTCCTAATTTTTTTAAAAAACCCGTTGTGTCTCTACACAATAGAATAGTAGGATGCATAACTTGCAAATTAATGGGAGTCCAATAGAGCAGGTATGCACTTATGTTACTTTATTAATTTATTGTATATACTTTTAATGTATTTTATGTCTACTATTTAGATTTATTAATTATAGGCTTAGATATTTAATTGTACTGTTTTCTGGCCTAAAGGACCTAGTAAAGGTTTTGATTTGATGATCACTATCACAATATAGAGAAAGAAACTTTTTTTAAAAAAAACCCTGAAGGGAAGTGATTGGAATATGTTAAAAAGCAGTTCAAAATTCCAGAGTTTTGTTGAGTTGTGATAATCCAATATTAGGTTTAAACAATATGAAATTAAAAATTGTAAAAGTTTGTTCAGCAAATGTGCACACAGAACATCCATATAGCATTATATATATATATATATACATATACATATTCATATGTATGTGTGTGTGTGTGTGTGTGTGTGTGTGTGTGTGTGTGTGTGTGTGTTTGCAAAAACAGAACTGAAAAACTACATGGTTTATGATAATTCTGCAGTTTAGGCTAGTATTGATTATTTCCTTGTGCATTTTAAGGAACTATGAGAGCCCTTATACTAGAAACACAATGGCTACTGAAGTTTCCAAGATGAGATGAAGCTCTATAACTCATGGTTATAGAGCTCTCTGGTTTCAGTGGGGAAAAGTCTGACTTTATTTATTTACTCATTCTAATTTTGAGGCTGCCTAATTTCTTGGCAACTCTGGGTGGCTTAAAAGGAGCAAAAGGAAAGAAACAATACATATACAAGGCAACACGCCCAATCAGAACACAAAATTAGGCTAAACTAAAAGAAGATCCACAACCACCCTCTCCCTGACCAAGACACATATCAGTCACAGAAGTGGTTTGGCACAATGGCCTGTGCTACACATGAACATTAGTCATTCTACGCTTCATGTCTGCTTCCCCATCAGCGGTGGGATTCACTTACCTTCCCTAATGGTTCGTAAATGTGAGCATGTGCAGAAGGTCACACATTATGTCAGGTGGGTGGAGCCTCCCGCAGCCACCACTACTGATTCACCCAAACCGGACATAACCGGCTGAATCACCTCTGTTCCCCATCCCCCCTCCCAACTGCTATACTATGGATGCTCATGATTCCAAGCCCACATATTCTCCATAAATATAATTTATATACTTATTGACAATAGTCATAATACTTCAGTTACATTTCTATAATTCATATAAGCCACTTAAATTGGAGAATATTGTGCTATTATTCAAATGAGAGTTCTGAGATAGAATTGTCTTGTAAATTTAGAGCAGAGCCAAGATTTCAGTTGTGGGCTTCGGTTCTCTCCAAAGGATACACCTACATTTACTCATAGTCAAAGGATTAGCACATTTATTTAAAATTATGGTTTGTTCTTTACCCTGTATTTGGAGCAGGCACTTCATTTTATGAGGAGACTTGCCTATATGCATAACGCTTCTCTGAGTGGTAGCACTCCATAATAGCTCTGCAATTTTACTGTTCTAAAAATCATTTAGGACACTAAATTGTTTTCTCTTTACCATCTCAAATCTTTGTAATTTAACAGGCAGCAAAACTGTATCTGAAACCTTGAAATCCTGTCAGGTAACAGCAAGAAACTTCTGTTTCTTTGGGTAATGAAGAATGCTTTTAATGCTTTCATAAAAATGATCCAGGCTTTGAAAACCTTTTCAAGTCTGAATACAAATTTTGACAAAGTTTTTTTAGAAGTTTTTTTTTTTATATACCTACTATATTCTCTGAAATGTCGATTCTTTCATGTGATTGATTCTGGCATATTTTAACCATCTTATCAATGTGTTGCAATGGCACATGCAAAGTTCTTCATTTAGAAAACAGAAATTCATTGCCCATGTAGCTCAGCTATAATAGTCATGAAAACGATTTTGGATCCATATTTGATTTCAAACTGTAGAAATTAGCAGGATGATGTGGCTACAAGAAAGGAAATGTAATTTTGGGCTACAACAACAGAAATATAATTTTCAAATCAAGGAAAATATTCAACTCTCCTTTATTTTGTGTGATTGAGAACCAAACACACTATCGTAAGAAGAACTGGAATAGATTGAGTGTAAAGCCATGACAATGATCAAGGGACTAAACCCAGACAAATCGTATTGTCTTCTTGATAAAGAGTTTGCCTGAATTAGTGGTTCAAGGAAATGCTATGGACATAATATAGACCACAGCCTACTTCTTAATAAGATAGAACAATGAGGAATAAAAAGTACCACTATCAGATGGATTCACAATTAGCTGAATATATAAGTCTGGAGAAGAAGAGGAAACTTGCATTTCAGTACAGGTTGTAGGCATGACTTTAATGATTCTTGTAATTATGAAAACCCCAGATAAGGCTCCCTCTTGTTATCAGCAAGAAAAAAAGGACGAGAGTTTCATACACCTGAAAGCTGCGCTCACAAAGACCAAAAGATAAACCAAACTTTGCTTTCCTCATAGCAATGCTTCACTAAATAATGTCTGCTAAATGAAAAGTTAATTTTTAAAGCCAAAAACTACTCTCATCTTTATCTATCAGATGCAATTCTTGTTGTATGGATTATGCAACTATATAGATTTCCCTCCAGTGCTGTATGTTTATATAATCAAGACAAAGCAGCCCAGGCGAGGCCTTACTTAAATAAGGACAGGGCAGAGCAAGGAAGGTCCAGATACATAAATGAATCCTTCAGAACAATCCTAAAGAGATCTGCTTCAAGCAAGGGCTTTCAGATTCTTACAGGGTTCAACTAATTCAATTGACTAGTTTCTGTGATGGGAACAACACAACATAACCCTTTGAAACATTACATACTTAAAAACAGAAAAATCTCAATGAATTTTGTTGCAATGATTTCTAACATTCTGACATAGGGTAACTGAGATCTTCATTTCAGCATTCTATATAAATTGATCCAGCTACTATTGTAGATCATAATAAAATGATCATTTAGACATTTTAGTTCTATTTTTCTGATGTGGTTATTCTCAGCTTAAAAAAACCCCACAATATTTGCATGCACACACAAACAATCAGGAAATAATGATCTTATGAATAAATATATATAAAGTTCCAAAAGGAAATGTAAAATTCATGCATCTAAGCCTGGGTTTTTTTGGGGGGGTGGGGGGGCAGGAAGAGGAAAGTGATATCACTGCCTAGTTTTTCTACATATTTTTAAAGTTATATCCTTCCATTAAATGGAATTTAATGAGGAATTAGTAGAGAGGGAAAGGTGAATCTACAACTTAAAAAAAAACATTGTAATTTTTGAATATATACATTTATACAAGAAGCAATGAAGAGGATTTTCAAGAAATCTTTTTTCCCTTTTTATTTTGTATTTTTCCCTTTTTATTTTGAATTATCTGTTATTTAAATCATGTCATTGACACTAAAATATATGAAAATATTGGCTGCTGTTCATTTTTTAGAGATTAGTAAAAATATTAATGATACATAAATTGCGCTTTCAAAAATATATTGTTTTTCTTCCTTTATTTAATGTATGCCATCTTTTTAACTAATAGTCCAAGGATGTATATTCCTTCTCTGTCCTTGACTACTATTAAGCAATTTGGCAGTAATTTTAACCACAGTTGCTACTACTATAATTTGACAAAGTGGGAGTTTTGTAGTGGACTTTAAATCTTCCATGGAAAAGTATCTTTTTGCTAGATATAAAGAAGAATAAATATTAAATATAATTTAGATTTTAGATAACATAGCATACAATATAATATAATTAGTTATAGTAGATTTTATGTTAGATGTAAACGATAGAGTATTACATGTTAAAATTAATGCATAAATGCTATAGAAACATATAGAAATAACATAGTAGAGTTCTTAGAAGAAGGAAAAATAATTACAAATATAAACCAAGGTTATTGTTAACAAAATTTACAGTATCAAATTACAAATCACAAAGCCCATACTTACAATCTGTGCTACTGTTTTTTGGAACCACAGAGAAATTGGAAGCTATAGGGTTGCGATCAATATCTTCCCACTGAATGGTGTTTGCGTAGCAAAGAAATCTGTTCTGGCCAACATACACTCCTCCATTTAAGATTTCTGTATCAAAAAGAAATAGGGAGGGGAAAACATATATTAAAGCCTTTCTGTGAAAGAAAAATAAAATGATGTTGTAAAACAACAGCAGGAAACATAGAAAGTTCCTAAGATTGTATGCATTCTCTACTCCAGTGTTTCTCAACCTTGCCAACCTTAAGTCCTGTGGACTTCAACTCCCAGAATCCCCCAGCCAGCAGCTGCCTGGGGGATTCTGGGAGTTGAAGTCCACAGGACTTAAGGTCGCCAAGGTTGAGAAACACTGCTCTAGTCTCTAGTCTAAGAAATCACATATTCACCGAATTAAGCCACTCCAATGATTTTTTTCCCCTTCTTTTTTCAGCATTCTAATTAGGACAGCCTTACATGGTGCAATTCTGTTATACAATTACTAGAAGAGAAAGTATGAAACAAGAAGCTACACCTTGGACAATAATTTCATTTATTGAACATTTATTGGTGGTGTATGTGGAAGAAAAGCCACGTCTTAAGGACAGAATCAGTTGGATGGAATGGGACAACAATGTTTTCAGTGATTCCATTTCTCACATTTTTGAGAGTGTCAGTTTTATATGTGGAATGCCATACTTCTTCACTATACCTGAGGTTTAGGAGCAAAAGTTAAATATCTAAATTAAGGACTGCATTATCAGACAGCAAGCATTGCTTTGAATTAAAATTTCCTTTTATAAGCTCTTGGACTAGAATTGGAGGACATCTGGTAAAATCAAAAAATTAGTTCAAAGGAAGTATAACAAAGCTAAAACAAACACAAGGAGCTCCGTTGAGCTTGGAGGGATTTATTACTAAGTGAGCATGCCTACAATTGTGATGCATATACCAAATAATAAATAATGAAGCAAAAACACACATTTCTAAGCAGAACAACTGGAAGCAAAAGCCTACCTCATAAATACGTGAAGTACTATAACTATGTGTTTCCCTGAGAGGGATTCGGTTTCTAAACCGAATCCAAACCATTTGAGATTATAGAGACGAATACATAAAAGCAATCTCAATTTGCATTATAATTATGAACCAGGAATCTTACTATTGTTAAATAGGCATTTTGAATGTTTACTGAAAAAGCTCTTAGTTATTAATACAATTTCCCTCAAAACAGTATTTTATTTGTCCACTACTATATCTAACTAAAGTTCGCTCCAATGCTACAAAATTATTATTAATAAGACACATTTTTCTGTACGTTATATATAATGGAATTACATTTTACTTCAATGGCATTATAGTCTTTTTGGAACAAAACATAAAGATAGCTAGAGTATGGTATCTCCCTTGAACAACTCCCCAGATTCCTCCTCAGATGTCAGCTCCGATTCCTGGCATGTCAGGAACTGAGTTGATTGATGGCTTGTGAATTCTCTTACGTCTGGAGTTAAGTTTGTTTGGTGGAGTCATTTTGTTTGAGCAACTTTCAATTGCTTTGTGGACTGTTGGGCCATGCATGTGAACTAATCTTGGCCTGCTCGCGGCTGGACTTAACTGGGACAGTTTTGAGTTTTGGTGAAGGTAATCGCTGGGGATTATTAATAAACTCACTAAACCACAGTTTATTCCCCGGTTCGCTGCAATGACTGCTCCCTTGGCTCGGTTGCTGCAGAAAAGATTGCAGCTCACATGGAAGTCGGTCAAGTGGCATGCCTTCGAGGTTTTGAAGAAGGCTTTTGGTACAGAACCCATTCTTCACCATCCCGACCCGATGCAACTGTCCATGGTGGAGATGGATGCATCTGATGTCATGGTGCTGGAGGTGTTGCTACAAGCCCCCTTGAACTCAAAGCAATTCTTTCCTTGCTCTTACTACTCGTGCAAGCTCAACTCTGATGAGCGGAATTACATGATCTGGCGGTCAATGAGGCTTTCTAGGTGTGGTGCACCACTTGGAAGGGGCTCAGCACCAAGTCAACGTGTGGTCAGCTCATTGGAACTGGAGCACCCAAAATGGGCGGAGCCATTGGTCTCTTTTCTTCACCTGCTTTGATTTCCGAGTAACCTATAATCTGGGAGGCTGGAACCAGAGAGCCGATGCCTTGTCGCGCAAACTGGGCTTTTATAATCACATCATATTATTGAGTTTCCCAAGCTTCTTGGGTTATTTTTCTCTTTAAGATTTCCATCCATGGTATTCTTTCCAAACTCTACGTTTGTTAAAATCAGCTCTTTTAAAGTCTAAGACACTAGTTTGATTTTGTTATACTTGCCTGGGTCTGCATTATATTGAATTCCATTATTACATGTCACTCTTCCCAAAAGCTCCTTCAACTTTTATCCGCCTCTTATCATTTCATCTCTATTAGTATGATGTTTGGTATAGCTGACCTTCTAGATCCCTCCTCTATCTTTTGGATGGAAGTTGTCAGGTAGGTTCATAAAGAACCTGTTCAATCTCCCATTTGATGCAGAGTTTGTTTCCCAGATTATACCAGGGTAGTTAAAATACTCTTGGGGCATGTTTCCTACATACATAGATTAACTGATTAACAGAATGTTCACCTATTTCTTCTGATTGCCTTGGTGGCCCCTAGTGTACACCTATAGCAATGTCATTCTTTTTCCCCCTTTTATTATAACCCATCTGCACTCAAGGAGGCTTTCCTCCTTGGTTTTATGCATTTCTATAGGGGTGTAATGAATTTTTACACATAATGTATCTCCACCTCCTCTTTTGTTAGATCTGTTTCTTTTGTAGGATAAGGATGGGAGGAGGAGGAGGAGGAGGAGGAGGAGGAGGAGGAGGATTGTAATTTACAGATAATGTGATGCAGCAGGCCAATATTTAAATACCTGTAATTTTGAGTCAGATAAGATTCTGACTGACAGTCATCCCTAATTTGAAGTAATAATTTGTCCTGCATTTTTAAAATAATATCTGAATTAGACACTTCAGTACATATTGAAACATAATTAAAGTAGCATTTTCAGAAAGTCAACATGGTGAATGAATTTCACCTCCTCAAATGCAGTCCAGTACAAAAAGAGATGATCGAAGGGGTGTACAACTAAACATCAAAGAGCATTCTAAGATATGTACAGTACATAAAAGACATATGAACACAAATATGGGCAGTGCTTTGAACTCAGATGGATCTCTCCCCCCAAAAAATGCTATTAACCATTCATTTCCAAGGAAACTAATTATTTCCATGCTCAAGCAAAGGGAAATTTACCCATCACTTTCTTTGATATTATAGCTGTATTGTGGGAAGCGGCTCTCAGGATACTGCAGAACAAGAAGCACCTCTTGCCAGCAAGTGGCCCCATGGAATTTTGGCCCAGTTAATTATAAGTATAATCTTTATTGTCATTGTTCTTAAATACAACAAAATTATTAAAACAGTTCTGAAAACATTGGCATACCACTGAAATTAAATTTAGGAAATTTAATAGTAAAATCCACATTCCCACTTGCTTCCCTTCAGCAGCCTCTGATGTCATCAGTCATTTTTCAACATCTTCAAATTTAAAAATGTAGTTGGGTTATCTCTTTGTAGCAGACATAATGATGCCTTCTGGCACCTTAAAGCCTAACAGACTGTCTACCTACAGGTAAGTATAGCATCTTCACAGCAAATATCTTACAGTACAGTGCTACATTAACCAATAGCGAGATGTTGATGCCCTTCAGTAGACATCTGCTGTTGGCTTCCCCTCTCCAGCCACCCCGCAGGTATGAAGCAATGAAGCAATAAATGATCTTTTATTTCAAGAATCTAAATGTCAGGGTTCCAAATAGCATCCAAAGTAAAATAAGAATCCAAGGCAAAAGTTCCTCAAAATTCCAATTTATTGAACGAGCCATGTTGGCACATCTGGGAAAACCCAAATCTGAAAGCTGCCAGGTTTTCCCACCCAGTTGAAAGTTCAAGACCCTACCCCAACACTCACAAGTCTATCACATGGTCCATTCCTTCATTGCCATGAAGAAAGATTCTTCCCATCCACAGCCACCCAGATGCAAGGACAAAGAATGTTATTATGGCTACATATCACCCAATTCTGTATAACTCTATTCTCCCACAGTAGAAAGTGTGGGAGGCCTGAAATCCAAAAGGCAAAATATAACTTCCAGGGCTGACAGGCGGCCTCCCCCCAGAAGAGAAGCATGTTCTGTAATGAGAATAATGTAGAGGGTTAACATATAAAACTAACCACTATGGAACTGCTTAACTAATTGATCAGCTTTCACATTCCAACTCTTTACCCACATAGCTTCTGACAAAGGGAACCCCTTCCAACGTACTAAATATTGCAAATGACCTCTATACAATCTGGAGTCTTGTATTTTTTTTCCACTTCATATTGTGTCTCTCCTTGTACTACTATAGGAGGAGGGGATGGATGGGTCTGAGATCTCAAACTAGACCCAATCACAGGTTTCAGCAAACTACAGTGGAAAACTGGGCGTATCTTCCCTAGAATCTGGGGAAGACTGAGATGAACCATCACTGGGTTAATTATTTTGACTATTGGGAAAGCACCTAAGAACTTAGGCCCTAATTTCTTGCTAGGCATCCTCAATCATATGTATTTGGTCAATAGATAAACTTTATCTCTCACATGGAAAGGGGGTTGAAGCAAACGACGCTTGTCTGCCTGTTTTTAATATTCCTCTACAGTTTCTGCCAGGGCTTTCTTTGTATTCTTCCATCTTTTTTTTCAAAGATTATAGTCCATCCATTCAGTCAACAACATTGAGGAGGGAGGCTCTCTGGGCAGTTCAGGCATAGGGACAAATTCCATGCCATTAGTAACTTGAAAGGGAGTTAATCCAGTGCTGCTACAGACCACATTGTTGTACGCCACTTCTGTGAATGGTAACACATACATAACACATATAGATATGCTATATACACACATATGTATATATCTACACCCTAACATATAAATACATATAAATATTAATCACTGTCCATCTTGAATACATAGCGGAAAGAGGAAGCTTGAAATTGAAGGTTGATATTGTATGGAACAAAACTGTGGCT